AAAAAAATCCGGGAAATGTGCCACGTTGGAAAGGCGCCCGCTGCCGTGGCCTATGTTTCTCACTGAAAATCCTCGTCCCCCGGTGGCACCTTTTTTTGAATTTTCTTCCTTTTCAACGCCGTTTTACGGGGATTTCGGTTTTTTTTTTTTTTTTGTCGCAATAATATTCGAAAAAGGGGGGCTTTTAACACATTTTAATGCAATAAAAATTTTTTGGTCGGAGTCCTCCCTTTAAAACTGAACCTATTGGAAAAATAGAAAACTTACAAATGTTCTTTCTTCTCTACGACTTCTGATACGCTATATTCACTGCTCTCCAAACTCGCAATCAGATGCTTGAATGAAGCATCAAATTTGTCATCCTTCGAAATATTCTCCCTCTTTCTTTGAATCTCTTCCAAAATTGGATGCAGTTCTTTATACGAGTTTTTAACGTCTTGTTCCTGAAAAGTTGCATACGCGCTAATATAAATCCCCTTCTCATTGAATACTACTTTATAGTTACATAGCATGTTAATTTACGGGGAATTTTTTTCCGCGGACTAAAACGAACTAAAACGGAAACGGAAATTTCTATTTTTCGTCTATTTTTCAGGATTTTTTTCTCTTCAAACATAAAAATATACACTTTTTTAGCGTTCAAAGACCATATTTGCATCACTTTCCATGCTTATTTTCAGTTCAATGTTTTCGTCAATTTTTACTTTTTTTTTCCGTTTCCGCTGAAAAAATGGCTATTTTTCCGGAAAACGGAAACGGAATCGTAATTTTTTTTCCGCGGAAACGGAAAAAAATCTCTAAAAACCGGGCGGAAAACGGAAAACGGAAACGGAAAAAACTTTTTCCCATCACTGGTGCTTACGGTATTTTACATTTTCGGAATGAATATTCACCTGTTTTTCAAGAATCTCCCCGTGTTTTTTCGCCAGAAATTGTTTGATTGCACAGATCTTTGGCTCACATTCCAAATATTTCTTGCGAGCTTGTTCGATTTCTGCGATTAGAAGCTCCTGAAAATAAAACAAAATATATTAAAAATGGAATTGAATTGCTCACTTTTTCTGAAGAATCCCTTCTTTCGTTGTTTGCCATTTCTGTACTGTATGTAATTATCGCTTCAAGTAAAAAGTATCGAAAATATGAGAACATTAAAATAGAGAAAATATAATAAAACTGTTCGAGGTGCAGTTTTGAGAATGAAACAATTTATAAAGAAATATTTAAAGTTTTATCTTCTATTTCTGATTCATCCATATGGGTTTCAGTTTATTTGGTTAACTTTATTGTAGGTCAAAAGGCACACGTGATGCACTCTTACATACGGAAATCGGGGTTTTTTATATCTTCGATGTGCTTGACGAGTTCATCAGAATCCTGAATTCCGTAACACCGATTCAACTAAAACTTGCAAAATTATATGATAACAACAAAAATGAATCACTAACCTCTTGTTGAAATAATTCACGCAAACACCAGTCTACTGATTTCCAAGGGCGATTATCAGATACCTGAACTGACACAGATGAATTGGCTTCCAGCATTAAAAGTTCTAGTTTCAAATTTCGAAGTGTGAATTCTTCTACCAGCCGTCCGTTCTTGAAAAAATGGAATTAATATAATTATATTTTAAGTTCGAAACTTACCTCATGGTTTTGGCCATCCTGGCCCGTCTTGTTAAATTCATCGCCAACAAAATCGTTGATATTCTTCAACTTCTCAGAATACTCATCAACTATAGACTGATCTTTGTGTTTCAGAGGAAATAAGTTTTGGGGGCGAATAGCGTTTTCCAAACCAAGATCCTGTTTATTCAATTTTTCCATCGCTGTCCTCATTTGAAACCTCAACACATCCGACTCAATTTGAAGATAATGACTGAGAAAAAATGCCAGGGAGCCGTCTATCTCCGAAAAATCCAGAGATTGGAAGCGACGTTTACAATGAGAAATTATATCATTGCAGAATTTCTCGAGGATTTCTTGAAATTTCATCAAGTCTCTTTCAGGAATACACACGTCGCTGAGAAATGAGAAAGTTTTTTAAATTGTAGAAAATTTGTTTACCTGGGATTTTTTTGATCTGGATATTTCATGAGCTCCATTTCAGTATTTTCCACCTTTTCGACACTGGTCAGTTCGTCTTTTATCGCGGATAAATCATAAGTTTGAGAAGAAAGAATAATTGCTCCAGAAATATCAGCTTGCTTGTATGGTCTAACAAGCTCAAAATGATCTGAGTGGCCAGCTTGTGGCCCTAGCTCAAGTGATCCCGAGCAGTCAGTTTGGGGTTTATTCTCAAGAGGTTCTGAGGTGCCAGCTTGTTCTTTTGTTTCCCCACCAAGTTCTGGAGAATTTTCATCTTCGCTTGATTTATCACGTTGCTGGTAAGCAGCCAATTGAGCACGCAAACGTTGGTTCTCCTCTTCAAGTTTACGTATTCTCTCTTCGTTTCCTCCTTTCTTTACTGTAAGCTTATCTGAGTCTCTACGCTGAAATCAGTCTGATGTTAAAGTAATGCTAGCCTTCGTTTCTAGATTAAAAACTTCAGCTCTACTCTAGTCTAGAGGTCCGAAAAAATTTAAAGTTCCCAAAAAAGCTTAGAGGTACCAAGAAAAATAGAATTCCGAAACAGAATTTGGAGTTTTGAGTTTTGAGTTTTTTTAAAAATTTCTTTTAGATAATTTTCAGGAAAATGCGTCCCTAATCCTATTAGAACTATAATATACATCATCAACACTTATTTTTTCATAAGACCTTCAGAACTTTAATTATTACTATTAAAACATCTGTGCGTTTTCAAATATTGCACCTCTAAACTTGTTTGGGACCTCTAATTTATTTTCGGACATTTGAATTTTTTCGGACCTCAAAACTAGAAAAGAACCAACATTTCAAAGATCAATTTTGAAACTCACTCCCATGTTTTCTCTTTGCCAAAGACTGTTTCAAGATTATCAGCAAGTAGGACGGTAAAGACGATTCGTTTTTCCAATTAAATAACGACGAGTGGCAACTGTGGTCTTTCTGTTATCGCTCCGGTATTATAGTGCGGCGATAGTATGGCGTAGTGAGAGATGTCCGGGAAAGACGGAGTATGATGCAACATCGAAAATTCCTAAGTAGTTGACCGAGAAGAATGACCATATCGAATTTTCGAGTGAAGAATAATAAGTTAAATTCCATGATTCGTTCAGCAGTTTTTAAAGATTTCACTTTTAAAAAAATTTCGCAATCGGAGGAGAAAAAATGGTACATTTTCAGACTGCTTTAACCATCTCTAACTGTCCTTCAAAGTTTCACATCTAAAAATTTCAGAATCCTTGTAACTTCAGAAATCGTACATAGTAATGTCGAACGCGAATACCAAAAATACCCCCCCCCCCCCATTCGTTTGATCCAATTTGAAACCAATTTTCTCATTTCTTCCTAATTTCATAAATCAGATTTGATTAGGGGAAAAGTCTCATTCGAGTCCAATAATATCACCTGCCCCTCGAAAAGTCAAAAAACCGCAGTCTGACATATTTGATTACACCCTCTATTCGACTCTCTAGACTCGCTAAATGCTCTGAATTCTGGTCGTTGATAATAGTCTTATAACTTACAAGTACGCCTAACAATTTTCTTAACAAGTTTCAATGCACCTTCAAAAATGTGTCATGAAGGTTTTCTACACTTTCTATCCTCTCCAGATTCCCTAAAATCCATATGCCACGTCATCACCTATATCGAAGTCCCATTTCACATTTTTGGTGTCTACTGTATTGTGGCAAAAACTCCGGGAAGAATGAAAAATGTGAAATGGAACTTGTTGATTATGCATTTTTCAATTATTTGTCTCAATTTGATAATGAGCTTTTTGTTGATCCCATTTATGATGGTCCCCGCTTTGGCTGGTGTTCCATTGGGATTTTTAGAGGAATTGGGAGTGCCCCAGAAATTTCAAATGTATTTGGCGGTTACCGGACCAGCAGGTGATTTTTTATTCGTTTTACCGTACCGTATGGTGTGCCCTTCTATTAGATGGGTTCTCCTGTTAAAAGGGCTCTTCTAATACAGGTTGCAAGGTATTTCACTTCTAAAAAATTTCAATTTTCAGTCACTGGAATCACTATCGTTGCAGTTTTCGAAAACCGTTATCTCCTTGTTTGCAATCATTTCTACTGGAAAAAAATCCGGTTTCCTTACATTTTCCTGAACTACCTCGCTGCTTTTCTCTGTTTTATCCATCCTATTTTACAAGCTCCTGATCAAAATTCAGGCAGATTAGAGCTGAAAAAAGTATGTTTAAAAAGTATGGAACTTTCAAAGGAAAATTTCCAGAACTTTCCATGTGTCTTCCAGTACATCAGTATAAGCTCAATTTTCATATTCCCACAAGACACGGTGATCATTGCGATCCCAATGATTTTCGTGATTTTCCTTGTCATTGTTCAGGCGACAATCGTGATATTGCTCATTTATCATCGCTTTTATGTAGACAGATTTAAAGTGTCAGAAAATACAACACAGATGCAGAAGAGGTTCATGAAGGCGTTGTTTGGACAGTTTTTGTTGTTCGTTTCTATTTTGGGCGTTCCGGTTAGCATTTTTACGTTTTCCATGTTTCTCGATGATTATAATCAAGGTAAGGATGTTTTTTCACAAGAAATAGGAAGAACACTTTTCGAGCCAATCTATCAGGGTTACTGTAAAAAGTTTCGAAAAGTAATTACCGTAAAACCTGTATTAGAAGGGCCGGCTCTTCTATTGTTCCAAGGTACCTCCGGAGGGCCCTTCTATTACAGGGACCCTTCAATTAGAGGGGGCCCTTCTATTTTTCCGGTCAGTTTTTTTCCGAAATTTGTCATCGAAAACTTTGACAAAGTTTCGTTCAAAATTCATGAAAATCTGCCAATTTTACCAAATTTAGCAAGAGTTTCATCGAAAAATAGAGTTTCAACAAATTTTTATTAAACTGTGGAGTTACCGGAATATTTTCTACTAAAAAAGTACGGACATTTTGTAATTCCAATGCATATGTTGATAGGGTCCTTCTTTACATGGGGCCCTTATATTACGGGGGCCCTTCTATTACAGGGGGCCCTTCTATTTTTCCAAGCCCCTCTCGTAGGGCCCTTTTATCAGAGGCGCCTTTCTATTAAGGGGGCCCTTCTAATACATGTTTTACGGTATGCGCAAAAGCCAAATGACCAAAGTCTGCGGAGCCTATCCGTGTTTATACTCATTTTGATGCTCCCGACACGATAAGATTGAAAAATTAGATTTCAGCTGGATCTGACTGTTTTCTGCCGGGTTTCAAACAGTTCCATGTGCAATTCCAAAAAATGAGAACTGTAAAATCTCTCTCAGAGTTGCACCTTCGTGGTTCAACTTTGAGCCAATTTATCTCGGTTCCTGTGAAAGGTATCGAAAGTAGTTAGCTGACAAAATAATTTTGATATTATAATAAACATTTTGTTAGTCGACCACTTTTTGCTATCTTGTACAGAAACGTAGATATATAGACTAAAAGTGGACGGGCCAAATAGGCACTTGCCGACAGCCGGCATCAACACAAGGAGCACAATCAGAACAGCGATAACACCGTCATGTAGCATACTCGGAATAAATCTAAAACTTTCAGGTCTCAACAACTTTTGTATTATCATTTTATCTCTGAATGGATTGGTATCAACAACCGCTATGATCATTTTACATCAACCATATCGAGAATGGATTCTGGCTTGTTTCGGCAAAAAGTCTAGACGTTGTTCTGTTATTAATGTTTTGTGATGATAAAAATGAAGTTTTTATGTTTGTCTAACCTAACCCAATTTCTTTCATATAATCCCCTCTTCGAGTTGAACTTGTAAGTCCATTGGTTTAGGTGTCGCTCAGATACCAGTTGAGCTACGATGACACAAGCTGTGCGCACCATACACCGTCACTACTTGTACACCGTCACGTCTAAATGCATACCGTACCAAAAAAACCTCATTTATCTCCTCCTTTAACGTTTCCGGAATCTTTGTCTAGACAGCAAAACAAGAGTTGCTTATTTCCGATTAGTTCTCATTACAATTATCATATTTTCTACAATAACAGGAACCATATTAATCTCAGTTTTTTACTTTACTGCTTCATTTACTTCCTCTAATCAAAATGTTCAATTTCGACATCTCTTCCATCTCGGACAACATCTCCAGGTTCTGTTACGTCACTACTGTATTCCTTAACACCCTTCTGATCTATTTGACTATGAATCACACTAAACAAATAGTTGGAACTTATAGAAACATGATTATAATTTTTGCCAGCTTTGGTATGTGGTTCGCCACAACAAATATTTTAGTAAGACCTGTAAGATTGTCTCTTTTTTTCATTTTTTCCTTGATTTACCCACCTTTTAGCTTTTCCATTCTTACAATCGTTGCTTGGTATATTTCACCTTGGGCTCAGCATTTCGAAAATAAGACTTCTGCTGAATATGAACTCTGTGAGTAGAATGGTGGTGGTCATACAGAAATCCTTGTTTTTCAAGTGCTGTATTCCACAATGTATGGTGTTATTATAAGCTTCCTAGCTGTTCAATTCATCTATCGAGCATGTGTGCTATCAAAACCAAAATGGACGAAAAAGTTTGATGGTTGGAAAATATTAATTTGGATTCTCTACGTATTCATTATGGGTGTTGTCTGGTCGACCGGAGTTGATATCGCACAGCCGGATGAAGAAATTTACCAGTACACGGAAAGGGAAATTCTAGTAAATTATGGAGTTCATGTCCACAATATACCAATGTTTTCCATACTGGCATATGTAAAAAAGTGTTTTCTTGGTAAGAAAGAATATGTTAAGTGTTTCAGAACGCTGATGGTTTCCTCCGGTGGAACGCTGTACTTACCCTTGCAATTTTCATCAGTTTGCTCATAGTCCAATACACGATTTGTCTGGTTTGTGGGATAATAATGTATCGTAGAATGCAAGGGAGCATGTCATCGTTTTCCTGTCAGCATGAGAAGCTTCAAAAGCAATTTTTCGTAGCTCTGATGTATCAGGTATTTCAAGAAGGTCTAGTGTCCAAGGGCACTTCAGAAAGGGGAACAACTAGTTCTTACAAGGGAATGTCGTTGAGAAAGCTCTTCAGAATTTTCTCTAAATTGGCTCATTTATAGAATCGAGTATGGGCTTTTACGTAACACTATTCTCTACCTGCAAAACTCGCTAAAACTCGAAAAAAATCGATCCGAGGCATGTTTTTCTATTGCACGCAATGAAGTGAAGAAAGGGGAGGAAATAGAAAGCGTTGAAACTCGCACAAATGCTATAATTCCAGATCGATTTTTCTCGAGTATTAGCGTGTTTTGCAGGTAGAGACTATTGTTACGTAAGAGACCATACTCGATTCTATAAATGAGCCAATTTAGAGAAAATTCTGAAGAGCTTTCTCAACGACATTCTCTTGTTAGGGTCCATTGGTTTTAAGGATTAGTGGGTGCAAACTTGATGCCACAAAGGGGAGGAGTACGAGAATGGGAAGTGTAAACACCGATCACTGTACACCATTACACAAAACTGCACACTTTCCCCGTTTTTCGATACCAAATTTAGTTTTCATTCTACAATATTTATTTATGGATTCAACTTACATATATCCACTGGCGGACTCGTTCATCTTGCAAGTTGTTTCAGAATACAAAATCGCTTTGAGAAGTTGAAAAAGTAATTTTCAAAACGTTAGCGTTTCAGAGTTTTACAAAATGGTAAAGGCTGCGCAATGGTCTTTCAAAATGATGGGATTCCAGAACCATCGATTTCTGTGGTGATGACAAGGATGTGAAGAATCTACCGTAAAAGAATCGTCGAATTTGAGCCCATGTATCTCATTTTCTGTGAAAGATATCAAAAAGTAATTAACTAATAAAATGTTGCTGATATCATGATAAAGATTTTATTAGTTGACAACTTTTTGATATCTTTCAAAAGAAGTGAGATATTTAGGCTCAAAGTAAATGGTCCGGGTGGCGTTCTATGAGAGTGTTTATAGTATTATGAAGATCAACTACTACTAATTTGAAACAAATATTTTAAACATTACTATTCTGCAGAAAGAGCAAAATTAAAGTGTTGGAGGTGCCGCGCCGCTACTGGTTGAGCTACGATGGCGCAAGCTGCGCGGCGGCACGATAGCCACGTGCGGTGACAATTTGTCTAGTCTCTGGTGTTATTATGTACCGGAGAATGCAAGGAAATTTGTCATCGTTCTCCAGTCAGCATGAGAAACTCCAGAAGCAGTTTTTCATTGCCCTGATGTATCAGGTAGGTTGAGATGGAGGTGCGCTTCAATTCCTCGGAATTCAGGTTGCCTCGTATTCTTCCATCTTCCATCACTATTCATCTTCATTTTACCATTTTTCGATACGAAAATCAGTTTTCATTCCACCGTACTCATTTATAGCTTCAATGTGTATCCACTGGTGGACTTGTTGATTCTGTTGAAAGTGGTTTCTGAGTACAAAATTGCTTTGAAAAGTTTGCTTATTAGATTTGATAGATGTGAAAGGAAAATGTTCAGAGTTTCGCGATATGATAGCTGGAGAATGGGCAATGATATTCCGGAACGGTGGCATCCCAGAACCCTCGATGTCTGTTGTCAATGCGAGGATGTAAACTTGATGATTTTCTAATTTTGTGATCTTGAATAAAATCGTATTTTGCTACTAATTTTTGTCACAGTCTTTCAAAGTTAGGGATTAGTTTCAGGTTGTTTTCTTTTTTTTTTCCCAACGCTATCAGACTAAGATGAAATACCGTAAACACTCTAATAAAACGCCATTCGGACCGTCCTCTTTGAGCTTATATATCTCACTTCTTTTGAATGATATCAATAAGTTGTTAACTAATGAAATTTTTATCATGATATCAGCAACATTTTATCAGTTAACCACTTTTTGATATCTCTCACCGGAAATGAGATACATGGGTTCCAACTTGACCATTTGGGTGACGTTCTGTTAGAGTGCTTACGGTATGTACATGATAACCTATTGTTTTGTTAATTTCAAAGCTATCTACACATGGTTTTGCGATTTCTGATGATGAGGAGTCCCTTCATGTGTTATTTGCCCCAAAAGACTTATATTTTGAATCAATTGTTCTTACTGTAGTCTACCGTAGTTTCAGCAAACCCACTGATTATCTGTCTCTTTATTTGTTGTCAACACCTATCCACTGGTGGATTCCTTGATCTTTTTGAATGTGGTTTCTGTATACAAACATGCATTGAAAAGTAAGACATGCACTTTGAGCTTAATTATCTCGGTTCCTATGAGAGATATCAAAATTGATAAAATTTTTGTCATAATATCACCAATGTTTTATCAGTTGACAGATTTTTGATATCTCTCATAGGAATCGAGATAATTGATCTCAAATAGGGTGGCCAATAACACTGTAGCAATGAAAGTATGCCAACTTGAAATTTTCAGAGTTCTGGAAGCTTGTTATGAAGGAATGGGAGGATACTGTAGGGGCGAACTATATTCCAGAACCATCAATGTCCGTGGTTATGTCAAGGATGTGATCTTCCAGATTCTGCTACAGTAACCTTTGCCTCACTTTTCTCAATAAACAGATTCTCACTTGACCGGAAACAGGAACATCTCCCAAAGAAGCTAAATTTCCCCCATTTTATCAGATTATGTTATCACTATGTTCGACTCGCAAATCCTAGGCCAGAATATAGCAAAATACATTTTATTCAATAAAAAATGAAACTTCCGATAGTGTTATTTGAAAAAAAAACACGATAAAACTGGGATGAAATGACAATGAGAGAAATCGGGATGGTCAAAAAGTTTTCGAGAGGAATGCAAGAATCAAAAATCAGCAAGAAAACACATATGAAATTTACGGGGGGAAGTGGTTGAAATGAAGAGATTGAAAGAGAGAAATTTCGGTTTTTTTACTCATAAACAAATTATGCACAGCAAAGAATTGAAGCGAGAAAAATAAGCAATTTAGAATAAGAGTATGGATGTGTTTTAAAAAAGAAAATGTAAAAATGAAAAACATCACTTTTGCGGCCTCGTCTCCCATTCATACCACGCTTCTCCGAGAATCGTTCCATGATGAGTCTCATTTTATCCTCCACAGTTGGTTCTGGAGCTGGCGCTGGTTTGGGAGCTGGCTGAACTGGAGCCGCGGTTACTGGAGCAGCGGGAGGCGGAGCCGCTGAAGTAACAATGGTTGGAGCCACAGGCGGCAGACGTCTTCTTTCAGGAGGCTGAGGACCAGCAGAAGTGACAGTTGGATGTGCAATGGTACCATTGACGGGTCGGTAGGGGCGGTAGTTGTATGGAAGGGGGAAGTCTGCCTGCAAATTGCTTTATGTAAGCTTGCACATTCAAATGTCCCTTACCGAAAAGAAAGCAGAGAAACGTGGCGTTTGGTGCTCCTCAACACATGTGTAATGCTTTCTCCATTCACGATTCGAGACTTGACGGAACACGGTCTTCTCTTTGGTTCCATTTTTGTTGACTACAGTAATTTTTGGAAGGCGTGGACGTCTCTCGAACTCGTTTTTTGGCCACATTTCAATGATTCTGAATAGATAGACGGATTTTAAAGGTGGCTGGGTGGGAATAAGGGCTCTGTCTCAAAATTAAGGACCTCGGAAGCCCGCTGGATATGAAAAAGGTCTTTTGCTAGATAAATGGGTCTTTGAGAAAAAAAGAGAAGTCAAACTTCAAATTTGGCGCCAATTTTTGGAGCATCCCGTTATACAGGAAAACGTGCCGTTTCAGCCTTAGCCTATAGTTTTTAGCAAAGTACTGTAATACCTGTTTCGAAGCACCTCTGGAGAGGCTGTCTGTTACTAGGGCTCTTCAATTAGAGGAACTCTTCTAATACAGGTTTATCGATAAACTGCCGTTTGGAAACAAGTTATATGAAAGCCCTTATTGTTTATTAAGATCTAATTTTTAGTGATGGAAGTTTTATTTTCAAATGGACCTAATATATGGATCCAAATACCGTAAAGCCTGTATTAGAAGGGCCGGCCCTTCTATTGTTCCAAAGTACCTCCGGAGGGCCTTTCTATTACAGGGCCCTTCAATTAGAAGGGGCCCTTCTATTTTTCAGGCTAGTGTTTTTCCGAAATTTTGCACCGAAAAATTCGACCAAGTTTCGTTCAAAATTCATGAAAATCTGCCAATTATACCAAAATTTAGCAAGATTTTCATCGAAAAATAGAGTTTCAACAAATTTCTATTAAATTGTGAAGTTCCCGGAATATTTTCCACTGGAAAAGTACGGAAATTTTTCAATTTCACGACATATTTTGAAGGGGGGGGGTCCTTATGTCACAGAGGGCCCTTCTATTACAGGGGCCCTTCTATTCTTCCAAACCCCTCTCGGCGAGCCCTTCTATTAAAGGTGCCCTTCTAATACAGGTTGGACGGTATACAATTAGGAGGACCTAGATCCCAATACTTTTCCAGCAAGTTTAACTCGTCAAGTTACTTCAAAAAAATGGAAAATAACGGTTCCTCGATTTTTTAAGCCCCTGGAGTTGAACCGACTGAGTTACGATCATATGAAACCCAGGACGACTTCCCAAGACTTTTATTCGATTAAAGAAAACTCACATTTTAACATGTTGACACATGGGGTTTGGAAGTGGTACTCGTGGCCAGAGGAGCATTGCCGGACGGTGTTGAGCAATGATTCGATGCATATAGACAGGGTAGCACTCGACGAGGCGTCGAATGTGTGCAACGTCGCGAGTGGTAACATCCATCGTAATCTGCTTCATCATATCTAATTGAGCTTGGAGCATTTTTGCTTCAAAGTACCAGTCGACCAGAGCTAGTCTCTGAAAATTTACTTTCCATTGTGTCAAATTCTCAATCCTACCTCAATAATCGGCAAGTTCTCAACCGCCCGTCTATCATAAAGACCCCGTATCGCATTATACAACAAGTAGGCTGGAAGTGTGTTCGGTAGCGGGTGATGGAAGCCATGGGATGAGTAGATCTTTCGAAGATCCGAATTGATAAACACCACATTACCCTCGTTGGAAGCAATTTGATAGTTGGTTGTGGCGGTTGGTGTCATGGAAACCAATGGGATCGTAGGAAAGTTCGGAATCGGGAGTAGGTATCCACGGTAGCGATAGCCATCACGGTGCCTGGAAAATGAAGACCTCAATTTGGGGAACCTTACTGAAAACCCACATATACTTCTGTGTATGAACCAACTGATAACCCAGCGCAGTAAACGTCTCGTAGTATTCCTCACAGCCATCCAGATCCGTCACACCGTGCCCGATGAAATGAGTTTGTACAATCAACCGTTGCAGTCGCTCATCATCCGGATACACATCATTCAAATTCAAATTCCCGCCCTCGTCAACGTACTGCAAAAGAATCGGATTCTGAGCTCTCAAGAAAGTCGCAGAGGTGGTGAGTCTATAGTAAGCGTCGTCTAGATTCAGGTCACGATATTTTAGTGAGTAGTGCATCACAATGTTCAAAGGATCGTCCAGCACAGTATGAGGATTCGTTTCCATGCGAGTTTCAAAGACTTTTTTAGGATCCAGAGAAGGGAACACTAGTTCTGCTCCATCGAGTGTTTCCTGATTGACGTATTGTAGAAATAAGACAAGTGGGTTGTCCATCGCGAAACCCAGTTCGTGGCGTATGACAGTGTACATATCTTGGGCATACCAAATTGTGTTGATCAAGCTGAAAAACGTATTATGGCTTGTGAATCAAAAATGGCTATGTCAAATGCTGGACTGAATATATAGAGGTTTGAAATTTTAAGCCTCAGATCCAGCAGCTTATCGTTTTAGAGATAGTTTTCTGGGCTCATATGGACCAGTGATGGGAGGAAACACATTTTTCCAAAATACGGAAAACGGAAAGGGGATATTTTTTCCGCGGAAAACGGAAACGGAAAAAAAAACGAGTAACATTTTTTTAACGGAAAATGGAAACGGAATCGCAATTCAATGTTTTTGTATTCACATTTTTTCCGCCTCCGCTGAAAAAAAAATTAGCGATTTTTCCGAAAAATGGAAACGGAAATAAAATTTCACTTTCACGGAAAACGGAAACGGAAACGGAATCAAAAATTTTTTCGCGGAAACGGAAACGGAAAAAAAATCTCTAAAAACCGGGCTGAAAACGGAAACGGAAACGGAAATTCCTCCTATCACTGATATGGACCATACTGTTCAAAATGAACCTTAAAACTCACTAATCCATAATGTACCAATTGACGGCGTCCGTTTCACAATAATTCGCATGATTCTTATACTTCCTCAACTCTTCGATAAACTCCTGAACACTCCATCGAACCGCTGCCGCGCCGTATTGACCTCTGAAACTTTGAAGAATCTTTTGAAGAATCCTAAAGTTCTACTCACTCTGTCGATTCATCATCTTCGGGTTCTGCATAAGACACCAGAAACTCAGTTGGCTTCCAAACAGATGTTCCCGGATAGTTGACTCGCTCAAACTCCTCGAATAAGGCCTTCATTCTGAATTTGGCGATTTTTTCAAAACTTCGACTTTCTGTCATTGTATCGATATCCATATCAAAGCATTTTGGTATACGAGTCCCAATTCGCGGTCTGGCAGCATAGCAGAGAAATGAGAAGAAGTTGGCATACCGACAATGGTCTTCTAGTCCTGGAAAAACATTTTGTTGAATGGCATATTTTGAATTGTTATGAATAGTTTTTTTCCAGTACAGTAGTTGAAGTTCAATCTCAAAAACAAATCACTCACTTCCCATCCAATCCATTTCCAATGGCTTGGACAGCTGACCAGTTTCCAGTGCCGCCTCAGCTTCAGCTATCAAATAATCTACGTTGTGCTCTTTTAACGGTCGACGCTTGCAAACCAAGTATTGCTCATAATTAGCACCATCTTGCATGTACTTCTCCACAGTTTCAAACATCATTCTGTGAACTTTTCCACGATTCCGGCGCTCGGCCATATCGAGATGGTCAATGCTGAGACATGGGTAGTCGCCACACTTCATCAAAACACTATCGCTATTGTTGGTAACCACTCCAGTGGCAACGAACGGTGTCGGTGTGTGGTACTCCTGAAAGTTACAAGGTCTCTCGATTATTAGCCCATTGAAGACTCTTGGGGAGTTGAACTTGTTGATAGATCGTTAAGAGCACCACGCTGCGGGTCTATTCTATAAGAGAGTTTCCAAGCTGGGACCATGGATTTCAAAAAGATACCACCCTGGCCCAATCGATTATAAGAGACGTCTCAACATGATAATTCTGGTCTTATCTCCTTAGCCGATCGTATGATCTATAGTCCCAAAAATCGGTCCCAAAAAGATACCCATTACGGTCTTATCCCATGGGTCATGGTCCCATCTCTCCTATCACGGGATCATTCCCCAAGCTGTGGTTCCGTCAAATGGGACCGTGGTGGAACCATGGTTGTACTGTTGGGCTGCACTAATGATCTATGGTGGCATCGAGAAATCGATGAACTCAATTTGGGACCATTTCTATGGTTCACTGGGGCATCGGAAAGGAGTCCCAATAACTCACCTGTAGCTCTATCAACAGCACATAATTATCCAGATTCCTCTCATCATCGTCATTCTCCTCCTTCCACATCATGTGCATTTTCCCGAAATAAAGTGCAAACTCGTGAACAACCCAAATTGTGGAACTAGCGATATTTTCTATCCGAATATCCGTGACTTCCTGACCATCTAACAAATAACACACCGGCCTTCGTTTCTCATGATTTGGGTTCAACTCCGTCCAGTATCCCGGATAAACCTTTAACACATATGTCTGGCCAAGAATCTTGATCTCTACCACGTTTTTTGGATCGTCCAATTTATCATTTGTGATTGGAAGTTCGGGAAATGTATCACAAACAAACAGGCGGTTGTTGTGATTGTACAATTGTTTGAACTCTCCGTCGTGGATGGTTGCAATGTATTCTTTTGATGCTTCGAAATCTCCAATGAAGTACATTTGAATGTTTGACTCAATCAAGGTTCCGTGCTCAAGAACTTTGAATCCACATGAATACTAAAAATAGGGGAATTAGATTTTCTTGAACTTTGAGCTCAATTATCTCTGTTCTTATAAGAGATATCAAGGATCCGTCAATTGATAAAATATTGGTGATATTATGATAAACAATTTATCAGTGGACGGATTGTCGATATCTTTTATAGAAATTGAGATAATTGAGATCAAAATCTCACCTCATCTAGACGAAACTGCAAGTCCAGAGGCATTGGCTGCCGAATAGTTTCGCTTAGCGTGGGTCCAATCATGAAGTTTTTCGCTTCTCCACATCCATAGAAGTTGCCATCATGACACCAGAATACAGAATGCGTCGATGACATTTTCATTTTGTACACAGGTGGTACAACCAGTTCGTTTGGAGTGTTGATGTACCAGCCGCTCGCGGTGTCGATTCCCAGACAGTGGTTGGTGTTGGCGCCGAACGCGAAGACACGGGGTTCCGGTTCTGGAAAATTTTTGGTGCATTTTTTTTGATTTTCGGAATCTCGGAACTTTGGAAGTGTTAAGAACATTAATTGTGAGATTCAAAGTTTCAGAATCTTGGAATGTTAAAATTTCCGAATCACACAGTATATCATGGAATCTCAGAATCTCAGAACCTTAAAATCTCAGAATTTCTAAACTTCGGATTTTGAGACATATGAATTCCAGAGTGTCAGAATCTCAAAATCCAAGATTTTACGAATCCATTAATTTCAAGATCTGAGAATATCAGAATAATGTCGAGAACCTCTAGAATTTCTTAGAATCTCGAGAACCTCTAGAATTTTAAAACTTCGATATTTCAGAATCTCAAAATCTCCGAATCTCAGAATCTCAGAATCTCAGAATCTCCGAATCTTAGAATCTCAGAATCTCAGAATCTCATAACCTCAGAATTTCAAAATCTCAGAATCTTCAAATCTCGGGATCTTAGAATCACGAAATCTTGAAGTCTCGGAATTCTTTGAAATTTCAGAATCTTCGAATTTCGAAATTTTGTAATCTCAAAATTTCAGGATTTTGAAATATCGGAATCTCAGAATTTGACCCTAATAATTATAAAATTTTTTATAATTTTAGATTTTTACATTTTTAAATTTTCAGATGGTTTTTCCAAAATCAAATACTCACTCATCGTCTTCGCCAACTGACGTCTTCTGTGTGGTGTTAGGAGTGTCCTCGACGGTGCAAACGACTGAATATATCTCCGTTTTCGAATCTGCTCGAGTAGAAAATATAGTGCCACATCGCTGAGGCGTCGTCCCTGAAATGATCGAAATTCAGAGCATGTTTTTCATAGTTCACCATTTTGGACTAAAATTTAAGAACTCTGAAATAAATCTTTCCGAAAAAAGACTCACCTCGTAGACATTGATCAGATTCTCGTATCTCATTTCCGGCGATAGGTATACAAAACAATCATGTGCAATTTTAATTATTGTGGTGTCATCCGATTTGACTGAAAATCCTACTTTTCAGAAAATTTTCTATTGAACATCTGATGGGCAAGTTGCCCAAAAACTAGGTCAAAAACTCACGGATACACAAGCCGACAATCTTATTGTACATGTTTAGTGCACCTCGCATATTCGCCCTTGCGATCGCTTGGTGATAAGTTGCTATGGTTTTTTTCAAAACGTCATTTCCCGCCGCCGAGGCCATGCTGACCTGAAATACAAATTTTTATAAGAAAAACTAGAAAATTGTGTTTTGAAGAAACACAAACGAAGGTAATTTGAAGTAGAAAACTGGGAAAAGAAGAAGAAACCGTGGAAGAGGAATTGAAGAAAGTTAGGCCATATCCGTGGCCGAGGACCCGACCACCCAGTGTATAAAAAATAGCGGCAACTATGAATGATGGAATTTTCACAGATTTTTGCCTTCAGGACAACAAAAAAAGGCTGGTCTCAAAAATCGATTTTCCGTTTTTTTTTCATGCCATTTTTTTCGCGGCCATCTGGTGTGTCCGCTTCGATAAGGTTAGAGAGTATAGAAAGTGAGGAGGGTGTTAGAGAAAATGAGAAATGGGGAAAAAGAAAGAAGATGGAAATGGAGAAGAGAACGGGGGAGAAAAGGAAGGGGGTAATTAGAAAATGGTTGTATATGTTTATGAAATGAAAAGGAGAGAAAGATGGAAAAGGTTATATTCTAGGTTTTGGATTAGAGGATTTTAGTGTATTTGAGGAAGGTAGAGACAGCTGTTCAGGAAAAGGCAATAGGCAGAAAAGAAAAAGAGAGAAAACATTTTGGGGTTCAGGAGAATTGATCTTAATAGAACCTGAGAATTTCAGAATCTCAATATCTCAGAATCTCAAAGTCTTAGAATGTTAAAGTATTTAAATTTTCAAAATTTCAGGATCTTGAAATTTTAGAATCTTGAAATTCTAGAAACCTAGAATTTCACAATGTCCGAACCTTAGAATCTCAGAATCTCAGAATCTCAGAATCTCAGAATCTCAGAATCTCAGAATCTCAGATTCTCAGAATCTCAGAATCTCAGAATCTCAGAACCTCAGAATCTCAGAATCTCAGAATCTCAGAATTTCAGAATCTTAGAAATTTAGAATCTTAGAAATTTAGAATTTCAAAGTCTCAAAATTCAACCACTGAATCTCTGAATCTCAGAATCTCAGAATCCCAGAATCTCAGAATCTCAGAATCTCAGAATCTCAGAATCTCAGAATCTCAGAATCTCAGAATCTCAGAATCTCAGAATCTCAGAATCTCAGAATCTCAGAATCTCAGAATCTCAGAATCTCAGAATCTTAGAAATTTAGAATTTCAAAGTCTCAGAATCTCAGAATCTCAGAATCTCAGAATCTCAGAATCTCAGAATCTCAGAATCTCAGAATCTCAGATTCTCAGAATCTCAGAATCTCAGAATCTCAGAACCTCAGAATCTCAGAATCTCAGAATCTCAGAATTTCAGAATCTTAGAAATTTAGAATCTTAGAAATTTAGAATTTCAAAGTCTCAAAATTCAACCACTGAATCTCTGAATCTCAGAATCTCAGAATCCCAGAATCTCAGAATCTCAGAATCTCAGAATCTCAGAATCTCAGAATCTCAGAATCTCAGAATCTCAGAATCTCAGAATCTCAGAATCTCAGAATCTCAGAATCTCAGAATCTGAGAATCTCAGAATCTCAGAATCTGAGAATCTCAGATTCTCAGAATCTCAGAATCTCAGAATCTCAAAATCCCAGAATCTCAGAATCTCAGAATCTCAAAATCCCAGAATCTCAGAATCTCAGAATCTCAGATTCTCAGAATCTCAGAATCTCAGAATCTCAGAATCTCAGAATCTCAGAATCTCAGAATCTCAGAATCTCAGAACCTTAGAAATTTAGAATTTCAAAGTCTCAAAATTCAACCACTGAATCTCTGAATCTCAAAATTAGAATTCCGAAAATTCGGACTTTAGGAGACATATGAGATTCTTAAAATCTCAAAAGTTGAAAAAAATCCCATTCCATTAACCCAAGACTGAAATTTATCAAAAACACTAATCAATTTTTCTGAAACTAATAAAAAACGCCAAATTTAGAAAAAAAAACCATGTCAAAAGCTGAAAAATTGGATTAACACAATTAATTTTTTAAAAAAATTTCGGAGCGATTGAAAATGAAAACGAAATATCAGAGACTGAGGAATGTGCTCCAGACATGTGACAGTTTTTATCCGAATTATTCTCGAATTCGAAAATTTGTACGGATTTGGACTTTGGACTAGAATAATATTCAGAAGCTTGGCAATTTTGTTATAGGTGGGGGACAGGAGATTTTTCGTAGGATTTTTGTAGCTAGGGTATGCATTCTAACGTGACGGCGTACAACGCTTAACGCCACTCTGCGTACATCTGTCCTTTGCCCGTGTGGCTCAGTCGGTAGCGGTGCCGCACCTTCAATACTCGGCCGGATAAGTTCAACTCATCGAGGGGCATATTTAAACGGAATTTCAAGAAACTTATTTTTTTCATGTCCCCCCCCCCGCACCTTTAAAAATCGACTACAAAAAATTATTCTAGGAGTGGGCACATGTATCCCCAAATACCGTAAAACCTCTAATAGAACGACACCCGGATCGTCCACTTTGAGCCTATATATCTCATTTTCTGTGAAAGATATCAAAAAGTGGCTAACTAGTAAAATGTTGCTGATATCCTGATAAACATTTTACTAGTTAACCACTTTTTGATATCTTTCAAAAGAAATGAGATATATAGGCTCAAAGTGGACGATCCGGGTGTCGTTCTATTAGAGGTTTTACAGTACTTTTTTCGATGTTTTTATTAAAAAAGCGCAAAAGGAGGAAGAAAAATATTTTCCGAGTTGCTAAGCACTCGAAAAATGACAACCACAACACAATAATTTTCGCCGAGCGTCACAAAATTTCTAAATCTGCACTTCTTCGTCTCTTGCTGCGAGAAAATAGCGGGATTCTAATTTTTGGTTACGTCCGTCCGGCTGCTTTGCTGCTTCTGCTTCTTCTGGCTGCTCATTCACTCGAAGAAATGGAAAATGAGAGGAAGAATGCGCTTTTCGTGCTTTGTTTTTCGTCCGGTTTTTGGGTTGCTGTGTGTCCTCTTCTTCGTACTTATGGAGAGAGATCAAAAAAAGTTTATGGAGGGGTTGGGGAAAATGGATAATGAAAAAAGAATGTAGTGGGAATTCGATATTTAGATTGAAATCAAGAAATCAGTAGGGTATTTACCAGTGTTGGGAGGAAACGCATTTTTCCGAAATACGGGAAACGGAATCGTAAATTTTTTTTCCGCGGAAACGGAAGCGGAAAAAATCTTCAAAAATCGGGCAGAAAACGGAAAACGGAAACGGAAACGGAATTTTCTGTTTTTCGTCTATTTTTCAGGATTGTTTTTCCCTTTAAACGGAAAAATACACAGTTTTTAACGTTTAAAGACCATATTTGCATCACTTTCCATGCTTTTTTTCAAGCCAGAATCAGATGTTTTCGTTGTTTTTTACATTTTTTTTCCGTTTCCGCTGTAAAAAAATTATCGATTTTTCCGAAAAACGGAAACGGAAACGGAAATAGAATTTCACTTTCACGGAAAACGTAAAAGGAAACGGAATCGTAAATTTTTTTCCGCGGAAACGGAATGACACAAATTGTCATAAACACACAATTCTTCAACTATTTAACGCTACATACATGGCGTGATCACTTCCTTATCACCATATCAGATCTGGAGCATAATCGTGGATATGCTAAGGAAATGCTATAAAAAGAAGCAGAATCGCCAGTATGAGGAGACATCTGAATCAAAGGAACAATCCCAACGGATCTCTCCAACGATGGATTCACTGATGCGAGGATCCAATTGCTGACGCTCGCGGATGAGCCAATCTACCGATGCCACACCCCTTCTGCAACCTCCTCATCAAGCCAAGGATGGTTCACCCCTCTGCACTTATAAACGGAAACTCCTGTCGCTGGTCATCGTCTCCTGGCAAACTCCCCAAATGCTGCTGCTATGAAGAACCCTAATCAGAGCCCTAAATCCACTAACAAAGAAGTTGTTGAATAACTAATGTTCCTATCCTTGTACTTTCGCTCCGACACAGGCTCCCATGACTTGTAGAAATGGACATAGGTTGTCGAATTTCGTGAAACAACGTTTTTATTTGATTCTCTTTGTTTTGAACCAGTTCTAGCACATAATGTTTTTTTTTCGAAAGTTGAAAAAATGCCTAGGGGGTAACCAATGGAAATTTTTTTGAAAACTTTTTTTTTCGAAAAAAAGGGGAAAATCTTTCCAGATTGTAGAGAAGCATTCAAAATACGAATAACATGTAAATATCCTCCAATAAATTCAATAATTCCTTCAGAAACTGACTCCAAAAATGAGAAATTAGTACTGTAATCACTTTCATAGCTCATATCTTTTTTTCACAGGACCGGGGTAGAAAAACTGACTTCAGTTCTGTAATCAGCGTGCCCAAAAGTACCAATGACAATAGTTTGAGCAAAATCAAAAACATGCGGTTTGTCTAGAATCTTCAATGGATCACAATCCTTTGCAAATCGTAGAAAAAGATGAAAACAAAAAGTTTCGAAAGTAACAGGTAAAACACTCAAAATCAAAATTTCTACCAATTCCAAGTATATAAAACCATATAGGATCACCTAGAAGTCAGATACAGTCACCAGAAAAAAACGAAGAAAATATTTAAAAAAAAGTTTAGCAGCTCGAGGGAGTCGAACCAGAGAGTAACCGCTTCATATTCCTCATCACTAACCAATCGACCACGCTTCCACATTCTTTCAACACAGTAAAACTTATATACGTGAGGAAGGAAAATGAGATTGAAAATCCACGTCATTTTTCGAAACTTTCGACCCAATTTTCTCGAAAACTACCGCGACAAAGCACTTTTTGGAAACAGATTTGGAATTAGGAAAATGTCAGCTTTCAGATGATATAGGACACCACCCGTATCGTCACACCCGAGTTGGGGCCTTCCCTTGTAAGTGTCGGAACAAATTCCGTACTTTCTTATAAAAGATATCAAAAATTTGTCAACTGATAAAATGTTTGTGATATTATGATAAACAACTTATCAGCTGAAAATTTTGATATCTTTTCAAGAAACCGGGATAATTGAGCTCCAATGGCCCATATAGGGTGGACTTCTATTATGAGATTCGCTGAAAGTTTGACAGTCAATTTCGGGTCAATTTTTTTTTCTTCCTTTTCAACGGCGTTTTTTGGGAATTTCGGATTTTTTTGAATTTTTTCGCAATAATATTCGGAAAATTGATAACTTTTAACACATTTTAATGCAATAAAAATTTTTGATCGGAGTCCTCCTTTAACAAGCTGGATGCTCTTCTCTTAGAGATGTTTTCGATTTTCTAAAAAATTTAGATTCACACAGTACCAGTATATAAGATATGCGAATAAAAAGTCCAAGGTGATATTTGGCCACTGTGACAGTTTTCAGGAGTCTGGCCCCTTTCTGTACTGAAACCATGAAAAAAACGGGTGTCTTTCAAAATCGGTGAAATGCTAAAAATCTAGGAATTTTCTAAAAATTCTGTGATTTAAAAAAGTTATACTAGGTCTTTTTTACATTCTCCAAAAATTTCAAAGTGATCGGACACTTGACAGCCGAGCTCCTGGATCCTGAAAACGGTCAATATGGCCGAAAATCAACTGAAATATACGTTTTTGTATATCTTATTCAAATTATTGTTTCACCTTTTCACAGTTTTTGGAAATTATAACTTTTTGCATGTTCAGAAACTTGACGATTTTTAAATATGAACTTTTTTTCAAAAAATTCATACATGTTTATTCCAATGTTTGATCTATTTTTCGTGGATAAGTAGTTTGCTCCCCTGTGTATTTATTTCCTCCAAATATCATAATTGAACTAGAAATCAGATTTTCCACCTGATTCGTGTCTCATAAATCGAATGAATAGTCAGAGTAAATAAGGCAATTCATTCACATCATTTTTTTTCTGTTTTCTGATATTTGAATGGCTAGAACAATCCCTGAATACTATGCATTCGAATATCTACCAAAATGTGAAATTGACGATAGTTTTTTGTCGTCCTGGAGAGGATTGGCGTATCCGTGTCGTGTGATTCAGTACATTTTCCTTCCCATTCAATTGCTCACCGGATATTTTATTTTGAAAAAGACTCCGGCTGTTATGAAAACGATGAAACAGTCTTTGCTAGTTTTTCATGTTTGGTGAGTTATAGATTTCAAAAGTTCAGTTTTTAAGGGTAAATAGAAATATGGCCTAATTTTGAGTTTTCTAGGCCATTATGGTGAATGACTTACAATTAGGGATGGCCTGATACTTACCTGGTGTGTTTTCTAGGCCATTGTAACACGCTGGCCTAAATTTCTGGGCATGATTTTTAGGCCACCCTAGTTGATTGTCCAGAAATGGAATAGCATGCAAATGATGTATTTTCTGGACAATTTTTAAAAGGTGGCTTAATTTTTGCAGATTGAGTTTTCTAGGTTTTCTAAGGAATTGTATACTCTTTCAAAATGTCAAAATGTTAGAAAGCTCGATTTTTTTCGAAATCTCTTTCAAGAACTTTTTGGAATACCGTCACTACCGTAAGATGCACCCCTAGATTCAATGTACCCTCCGAGATCAGGGGCTTATTTCATAGAAGTTAATCTAAAGAAGTCCTTTTCTTCAGCTGTACTATCCAAGACCTCCATTTTCTCACACTATCCACCTCTTATATATTCCTCCCATCCTATGCATTCTTCGGTGTTGGATTCTTCGCCTGGCTTGAGTTCCCACCACTTCTGCAAATCCTGCCCATGTTTTTTGTACTATTTTGTAATGATTTTTTTCGCCCATTCCCCTTTTAAATCACATGAATTCAGGCACCGAATCAGCTACAATCTACCTATTTGAAAGTCGCGCCAGCATCAATCCAGAAAACATATTCAGATTTACAAGGACTCGTAGTCGACTGATTTACTACTTAGGAACCTTGGGACTGAATTGTATGATCTATATATTGTTCATATTCAAAGTACCCGAAGATCAGGAAGCTGCTAAGTTAGATATCCTAAAGTTTATTCCATGTCCAACCAGAGAGTTTTTTACGGAACCAGTGTTTGTGCCTGCCGATCAAGAGTGGTCCAACCTTATGCTTATGTATTTCATACCAGTTTTCATAGGTATGACATTAACTCAAATGCTATTTTTCTTCTCTATCTCGGTATATTATCTGTTCGTTCGCAAGTTATCTGTCTCAATATCTCCTCAAACACGGAAACTTCAACAGTGGTTTTTTATTGGAATTCTCGTTCAAACTCTTATTCCAATTCTCATACAAGCATTTCCATATGCCGTGATCACTGTGATGATGAAAAATGAGAAGCTGACACAGTCTATGTCGAGTTTATACATGATAGTTTTTGGAATGTATGGAGGTGTCGGGAGTGTTGTGATTATATTTGTGCATAAAGGATATCGAAATATCATTTTCAGATTTTTCAGCTGTGAACGAAGTAAGTTTAGAACACTAAAGCTATAAAAAGCAGGATATGAATAGGTGCAACGACTATTGAGCCATATCGAAAAACATCGGAAAACACTGGAAGGATTCAACACTAATTTTATTTGCAATCGATATTTTCAATGTCTAAATGTATAAATTTTGCGTATATCACATCAGATTCATCTTGTCAGCTGACCATCTTTTTAATATCTCCCATGGACATAGATAAATTGGCCCAAAGTTACCAGTCCGGATGCTCTTCCATTACAGGCTTGTATTCAATTTAAGGTTTTCCTAAAGTTCCGAGATTTAGAACGTTTTAAATTTTAATCGTTTTTCAAAATCCAACGTCCAATCCTGATTCATACATGTTTATGCCTAATTCCGATATTTTTCGTCTGATAAGTACTTTCATCTTTCCTATGTGATAAATAGTAATCATTTCCACCAAACATGTCAGAATTAGACTAGAACTCAGATTGTTCCACCTGATTCGGGTCCCACAAATTGAATGAATGGTCAGAGTAAATGAGCCCATTCATTCCCTTTCCTCCTACATCGTTTTTTGTGTTTTCTGATACCCGAATGGCGAAAACCATCGCCGAATACTATGCATTTGAATATCTAACTAAATGTGAAATCGACGATAGTTTTTTGTCGTCCTGGAGAGGATTGGCTTATCCGTGTCGTGTGATTCAGTGCATTTTCCTTTCCATCCAGATGCTCACTGGGTATTTTATTTTGAAGAAAACTCCGGCTGTTATGAAAACAATGAAACAGTCTTTGCTGATTTTTCATGTTTGGTAAGTAACAAATTTCAAAGGCTCACAGCGGTTGTATCATTGTCAGTATCCAAGGGTACATTGAAATAAGGTCCATTTAGTTCTAACCTCAAGTACTTGGCTCAGTGGGTATATAGAATCAGACAAAAGTTTAAGTTTGCGAACGGATCCGTTTGTCCATCATTCGCAATCGGATCGGATACGGAGTTCGCAAACGGATAGAATACGGAGGAATACAAAATAATGTGCTGTGGTTTTCTGAAAACGGGTCGCGTGCGGTCCGTATGCGGTTCCTATTTCAACCGCGCGCGAACGCTGAGCGTCCGTAACGGATCCGTTCGCATTTTACCTGTGTTATATGTTTCTTCCATCCTATGCATTCTTTGGTGTTGGATTATTTTCCTGGCTTGGGATCCCCCCACTCCTGCAAATTGTTCCAAATTTTACATCCTATTTTGTAAGCAAGTCTCTCGGTCATACCCCCTTTAAGCCATGAATTCAGGCACCGAATCAGCTACAGTCTATTTGTTTGAAAGTCGCGCCAGCATCAACATAGATAACACATTCAGGTTCACAAGGGCTCGTAGTCGACTGATTTATTATACTGGGACGTTGGCATTGAATTGTATGATCTATACATTGTTCATATTCAAAGTACCCGAAGATCAGGAAGCGGCTAAATTAGATATCTTGAAGTTCATTCCATGTCCAACAAGAGAGTTTATTACGGAACCAGCGTTTGTGCCTGCCGATCAAGAGTGGTCCAATTTTATGCTAATGTGTTTGATACCTATTTTCTTAGCGATTGGGGCATCTCAATTTCTATTTTTCTTTTCTCTCTCCGTATATTATCTGTTCGTTTGCAAGTTATCCTTCTCGATATCTCATCAGACCCGAAAAATGCAACTATGTTTTTTTCTGGGAATTCTGGCTCTAGTTCTTATTCCATTTGTCATTCAGGCATTTCCTTATGTTGTAATCACTGTTATGATGAAAAATGACAAGCTGACGCAGGCTATGACGAATATATATTTCATAGTTTTCGGAATGCATGGATGTGTCGGGAGTGTTGTGATTCTATTTGTGCATAAAGGATATCGAAATACTATTTTCCGGTTTTTTCGCTGTAAAAGAAGTGAGTCTTAGGATACAGAATCATTTAAAACATGATAAGTCTAGGTGCAACTGCAATTGAGCCATATCGAAAAACATCGGAAAACGCTGGAAGGATTCAACATTGATTCATTTTGCAATACTATTTTTTTAACTTCGAAAGTCAATTCCGCTTCAAAACATCCATTCCGCCAATAAAACTTTTTTCTTCGAAAAATCGAAAAACTGTTTTTCAAAGAACACATACAATAAGAATGCCCTAAATTACCGTTCCCATTTAAACTGCTGAACTTTGGATGTTTGGTTTTAAAATTTCAGAGATTATGAGCCAACAAAGTGATCTAACTTCCTCAATTTGATGTTTCTAGGCCACGAACTTTTATGGCCTAGAAACAGCCTGATAACCGCCTACTGTGCTTTCTAGGCAATTTTAACATGGAGGCCTGGTCTTACATGTCCCTGACGTGTTTTTTCTAGGCCACCAACTTTTATGGCCAGATAAACTTTTAAGTTTTCAGGTCAAATGGACAAGTACTAAGCATTTATTCCGACACCGAAAAAATATTCTTGAAAAGTCATTTGAGTCATCTTTGTTGGCCTATTTCTTAATGACGCTTTTTACACTGCTATGCTCGATTGTACGACGAGAATCTGAAAAGGAGAAAAATATTTTTCAAAACACGAAAACTCAAAAACCATACCTTGTAATTTGTGTTTTCGTTTCAAAAAGCTCATTACAAACTCTCGGTATGGTCCATGAACCAAAATGATAGCCAAGCTTTCGGCGAGTCCATGAATCCCCACAGTTACTATACACATATTGATAACGCCTTGAGTAAGGCGATCCAACAACAAGCATGTGATTGCTATTCCATAAGTGACAAACGACAAATGGAACAATTGCTTGTACAGTAATACCGATGAAAAAATGAGATTGATATTTTCGAGTTAGAGGGGATGATAATGGGCACGATGTGAGGTAAAGATAGTAGACTGAGCACCCCACAAAGAAGAGTACTTGTAATGTACTCGTTGTGACGTAAAAAGCTATTCCCAAAACAACAAAATTTGCTAAAATTGGACTTGAAAATACTACGAATGCTGGCTCCGTAAAAAACTCTCTAGTCGGACATGGTCCAAATTTCAAAGTCTCCAATTTCGCGGCTTCTTGATTCTTTGGAACTTGAAACAAAAACCAGGAGACAGGTGCGTAAAGAAGATAATTGAACGCGTAATACAATAACTTAGTCTTACGACTCCTGATTTTGAAAATGTTATAATCAATAACACTGCTTCGACTTTTATACTGATTATCACAAATATGCCGGGGACCATCAGATAAATGAGTGGAATGTTGAAAATGTTAAGAATTCCACACCCGAAAAGTGCCGCGTGTGGATGGAAAATGTATGGAGTCGATAAAGTTCCAAAACTAAAGTCCAGAGCGGAACACCTGAAAAGTAACTCTAAAATATTTAAATGCAACTGAAAAAAAACGCCTTACCAGAAATTTGATACCAACAACGGCCATTTCATACATTTCATCTCACGAGGTGTTTTGAACATTATTGAATAAAAAGTGAGAAGTTGAACAGGACAAGCGAATAGTTGAGTGAAATGGCTGGTATTCGCTAACCCTTGCCATGACCACCAGAAACTATCGTCCACTTTACAATGAGTATAGTTGGTACGGTAGCATTCTTTGTTGTCGAGTCCACGTGGCTATTCACCGACTCAACAACTTTAAGATATTCTGAGGACCTCTAGGCCCAGCCCACTGTGCTTACTCCTCAGAAATCTTCCTATTTCCCACTTTATTCTCTTTATTTTCCTTTGTTTATTAGCCTTTTATTGCTTTCTCATATTCAAATTCCCGCCAATTTTCTCTCCCTTCGTGCAAGCGCGCCCTATCGTTGAGATCTCGCCACGAAGGGGTTAAAGGCGCACACACACTCGAAACGGGTTTACTGGCCTACTTTCTATTCTGATTAATTGAGTTTTACTCAGTTTTATTCTAGTCTAGTAGTCAGTGATGTTCCGTGACGTTTACCTTCAGTTTGCAAGTCCGTCAACCTCATTACTCATCATTATTCCTACTATTTCAATACTGTAAGTCCTACGGCGATCCCCGATCGCCTTACCGGCCTTATTGGACAATAGGAAACCGCTAATGGTGTGAGTTGATATAGATTTCCTTCTGAATAGACTAACGGCCAGTTCTGTGACCTGTTTCAAGAGTGTTTTCCTTTCAGTGCTCTCATCGCGACCACTAGGAAGCGTGTGCTATTGGGAACTTTGTCTATGAGAAGCGATAAGCTTGTCACCGGTAGGAGAAGGGTTTTTGTTGCCCAAGGCTTTTTGCCCCTTCAACTATTGAGTGATCAGTGATGTCCTTCTCGTCCGTCTCCAAGCCAGCCCGACTCCGAGGAAGCCTCTTATTGACGATATATTCTCTTTATTAAATATATACCGCTCAATAAATGGGTCACTGATACTACTGTTTCTTTTATTGTTTCCACACCGCTTATCTGCCCGCTCGTTGTTCCACTCCTCGCTACAGACATAACTAGTTCCCCTGTTACCGATGCACTTTCCCCTATTTTACCAGACAGCACGCACAAGGAGGTAGCTTGTTTCTCTGGAGCCGTCACGGGGAATCCAAGACTCCCCAAGGTGACCCCTCTACATTCTTCGAGGGACGTTGTCATTGTGAAAAATGAAAAACAATTTTTTTTTGGCAGCGCAAATCAGTTGCAAGACAAGATGGGTGTCTGAGAATGACCAGGAAGGAACGGATAGTAACATCTAATTAGCTGCTGGTTTTAAAGCTTGATAACATGTTTTTGACATCTAAAAAGTCGTGAATCATGAAGCGACAAATCTGAAAATCTCTAAAAATCAAAGATAATGACACACTTCTTTTCGCACCACAAATCAGTTGCTAGGCATGCTCTAATTAGTTGCTTATTTTCAAACGTGTGGTTTGTCACCATGTTTTGACATCTTTGAAGTCGGGAATCATAAAGCGAATAATCTGAAAATCTCTAAAAATCAAAAAAAAAGTATTTTAATGGCACATAGTACCGTATAACCTAGAGCGATTTTCCGATCCGCAAATTGGAATTTTATGTAAATATTTTTTTTTCCTGATTTATTACTAAAAATGTGGGAGATGTGAGAAATCTAGAAAATAATTGAAATCTAGAAAAAAAAGTTTTCCAAAGTATCGGCAAATGGACATTCGAGCTCCAGATTCCGGAGTACCGTCAAAATGACCGAAACTCAACAGAAGAATACGTTTTTGTACAGTGCGTTCAAAAAGGATAGGACCCCCCTCGATTTCGAGGGTTCCGGACAGGCCTGTGCGGCAACAAAATTTTTTCGGCAATTCGGCAACTCGGCAATTTCCCGAAAAAAGTTTCGGCAACTTTCGGCAATTTTCGGCAACAAAAGTTTTGCGTCTTTTTTTAGTAAAATCGATGCGTAACTCACCTGAAAATGCTCCAATCAGGCTCAGAACTACAGAAAATGTGTTTCATAAGTTCCTTAAAAAAGTAATTACAAAAATTGGCAACTCAAGACCACATTTTTTATGCAAACTATTTCTCTTTAGCAATAGAGGGTATTCCAATGGTTGAAAATATTTGTTCCGATTGTGAGTTTTGAAAATAGTGCGCTCAACTTGTTAGGCAACTCACGACTCACGTTCTCTAGAGATTTGAGACAAATTGGATAATTTTTCTGATGAGTTGTGACTCATGATATCTATTTCACAGGTGATTCGCGAACAATCCGTTACGGATTCTCCGCCATTCGCGCGCGGATGAAATAGGAATCGTATACGGACCGTACGCGAATCCGTAACGGATCCGTTTCCGACTCATTCTTTGAAAACCCCCGCCGCTCCTTTTTTCAGTTTCTCTTAATTTTTGCTGAGTTTTCATGATAGTTGTAGACTTAGTATTCGGAACTTTATTAAGAAAACATATAAGAAACAACAATCAAACGTACAACAAAGTTCGAGAAACTATGAAAATCCTTTTTTTTTTTGTTGAATGACCAACCGGAACCAAAGCAATCTGAAAAAAAAATTGGGAAATTTTCCGAAAGTGCAGCATACTGTTTACCTATTAGTTATATTTTTTGTTTTCCGGGTTTTGAAAATTGTCCCATTTCCAACGTTTTGGTCGGTAGATGTTTAGTAGATGTCCATCGCTGAAAATTTGAAAAGTCACTATTTCGAAAACTAATATGGTTTGCACTTACCTTAAGCTAGCAACTTGCTTTCTGCAAAAGTGAGCATCAAAACAATATTTTTGTTCCTTTTGCTCACGGAGAGGTTAAGTGATACCTATAACAAACCCTATGTTTCGAAGAATTACCTTTGTGTTACAAACCTTTTTTCATCGTAGAATCGCCTTTCGAAAATTTTGATAGACAGAAATCGGCACAATTGCCGAGAAAAGTTGGAAAAAACGGCAAAAATAGATTAAAAATACAAAAAAAAGATGCAAAAATATGATGGAAGAGTTAAGAGAAAGCTAGTCCCTCACAACTCGGCCATCCGGAACGGATCCGTTCGCGAATGGCATGGAGCTATCTCTCGACCTCCAGCTGCATCCGTATCCGGTCCGTTCGCGAACTCCGTATCCTGTCCGATTGCGAATGTTGAAAAAACGGATCCGTTCGCGAACTCAGATTCGCGAAACTGCCCGTAACGGACCCGTAGAAAACCTAGTGGACACCGAAACGGATCCGTTCGCATTTTACCTGTGTTTTCTCCTATGCTCACAAATTTGATGCCCATTTTTAGATCCGATGCAAGTATTTTTGATGATTATTGGGACACATTTCCTCTAAAATTCACTCTGAGGGATGATGGTGCTCAAAATTTGATTTTTCGAACTTCGAAATCATTTTTTTGACTAAAAAAAATTGTGAAAATCTCTAAATTCCAAAAAATTTCAGTTGCCGAAATTGCCGAAATTTTTTTGCCGAAATCGGCAACGGCAATTCGGCAACTTTTTCTTCGTTACCGATTTCGGCAACGGCAAATTGGCAACAAAAATTTGGCAATTTTGGCAATTTCGGCAATCGGCACAGGCCTGGTTCCGGAAAAAGTAAAAACGATATGAAAAATCTGTAATTGCCATTCGATTTAGAATACAAAATAACCCCCAGGTACAAATTGTCATGTCTCTAGCACTTTCTGTACTCGAGTCATACCCAAATGTCACTTTTGCGACCGTTCAAAAGGATAGGACCACCCCGAAAAATGAAAAATCACAAGTTTTTTTGGGGAACAAAATTGACATTTTTTCGTTGGAAATTGTTAGAATAGTCTCAAAATAGCCTATTTCAAAAGTTTAGACAAAAATTGATTTCTCTCGTCAAGTTTTAGAAAAAATTATTTTCGGACATTTTCGTCATTTTTTGGGTTTTTGGTATAAGTCGCGGAGAACTTTGCTTCTGGGTAAACTTTCGAGCTGAAACTTATAGAAAATACTGCCGCAGTAGTTTGTATTGTCTACTGACGGTTGTTATGCAACTTTGAGCCGTTTTTTCTAATTTAAGGTGGATGGAAATTTCCAAAATTGACCTTGAAATTCAGTAATTCTGATTTTTGTCGAAAATCTAGATTTTACTTTCTAAATTCATTTTTCTTTACAAAATAACAAGTTCGATAGCAGTTTTAATAATTTACAACACCTTTCAAACATTTTAGACAGATTTGGAAAATTTCCAATTGAGCATATTTTTTCATTTTAAAACTCGTTCAATTTTGTGCTACCAAAGCTCAAAAGTGCCTTGAACAGTTGCAACATGATCATTATTATTCAAAACATATTTTCAACCAATTACAGCTCAAGAGTTTACCCAGAAGCAAAGTGATCCGCGATTTATAGCAAAGACCCGAAAAATGACGAAAATGTCCGAAAATAATTTTTTCTAAAACTTGACGAGAGAAATCAATTTTTGTCTAAACTTTCAAAATAAACTATTTTGAGACTATTCTAACAATTTCCAACGAAAAAATGTCAATTTTGTTCCCCAAAAAACTAGTGATTTTTCATTTTTCGGGGTGGTCCTACCTAGAAAGTGCTAGAGACATGACAATTTGTACCTGGGGGTTATTTTGTATTCTAAATCGAATGGCGATTACAGATTTTTCACATCGTTTTTACTTTTTCCGGAACCCTCGAAATCGGGGGGGGGGGGGGGGGGGTCCTATCCTTTTTGAACGCACTGTATATCTTATTGACCAGTACTGTATGTATTACGGTCTATACATTATTCGATGGCATGATTCTTTTGGCCCTGCGTTCTAATAGTAAGATCTTCCTGGGCATACGGTGAATGGAAGTTCGCTTTTGGTATACTGTACCACTTCAGTGGCCGTCATATAAGATACACTACATTAAGCACACCAATGAACATTCCGATACTGTTTAGAATAACATTGAAGATTGTATAAATTTACAGCATATTTATTTTGTATTTTTAAGAACCAGAAGATGGATAGAGAATGGCAATAAATGGACAGTATCAAAGTTATGAGAAATTGTTCGACATGAATGGGAAGAAACAAATGCAGAATTGGCATTAGACAGAAATTTGGAGTTGTCTCGCTTTGATCGCGTCCTTAACTTCTTTCATATTCTCTCCTTGGATCACACATCGTACACATATCTCCTCGAGATCCTTCATGGTGGCGAGACGTTCCTGGTACTTTCTGATTGTAGATTCAGTGGCTTCGGTGGATCGATTGGCAATGAGAGTGTGAACCAGATGGATGAGTTTCATGATGGTTGGGAGGTGCATCTCGGAGTTCTGAAATAAATATATGAGATTTGTAAAGCGGTATCAGACCTACCGGATGCTTGACCAGAACTGTCAAGCAGGCCAGTTTTCGTTGAAGAGATTTGACACAGGAACCGGTCATCAGAAGCTCAGGAGGAGGGCGAACTGCACGGGTTGTTGAGATGTGTCGGATGAACATTGCTGGAGCAATAGGAGATAAGATTCGTGGTCTAGAGACGTTTGGAGGAGATCTTCTTTTTGGTGCTGGTCCAACTGGAACTGCGAACGCTGATCTTTTTCTTGGAGCACGACCCATTGGAGCTGCAAAGCCTGGAGTCGGTGGGAGTGAAGGCACGGCGAACATCATTCTGCTGAAAACAGACAATATGAAAGGACTGTACAAGAACGGAGGTAAGTGGGAAGACTGACAAATGGAGAATGAAAGATGTGGTCTGGCGAATGATGGTCCTCTTCCAAGGTGGGCGGAGCTAGGATATGATGACAATGTGAAGACAGCATCGTATGGCTATTCAAGATACGGAACATAAAAACTGTGTTAAACGACCACTTGTTATTGATCGAATTGACAGTTTGATTGGCGGATCCTTTGAAGGTGGCAGGTGTAGTGAATATAGCCAGAACATGGGAAAAATGAGGAACTATCGATTTCACTTGTCCCCAAGGAAAAATATTGACAGGTTCTCGAAATCGCACTTGACTGTTCTTAAACTTGAACCATTGGAAAACTTCTTGAACAGTTGAAAACTGATTTACGGCATGACTGAAGAAAGATATTAGGTGCAACTTCGCATGCGGTTTAACTTCGACCTCAATTATCTCGCTCCCTTCAAAAGATATCAGAAAATTGTCAACTGATAAATTATTTATCATAACCTCACCAGTATTTTAACAGTTGAGCAATTTTTGATATCTCTCATAGAAACCGAGATAATTGAGCTCAACGTGCACATATGTCATATTCGAATTTTGGGAAATTTTGAGCTTACTGTATTTCAAGAAAAAAAATATTAAAAATTAAGTCATGACCTAGAATAAAATTTGTAAAAAATTAGGAGCACCCAACCCTATAAAATTGAATTACTCATCGGTTTCTGACAGAAAAAAAAGAACATATTCACAGAAGCTCATTAGAGCACTCACTCATCCAAAGCACGTCACCTCATTCTGACCATGTATCCAAACCTCGAAATTCTCACGTTTTCATATTTGTTTGTTTGAATCTCTTCTCAAATGGCAAAAAATGTCGCTGAATACTACACCACCAACTACACCAAATGCACCATCGAGGACAGCTTTCTAGCTTCATGGCAAGGATTGGCTTACTGTAGCCATTTAACTCAACTAGTCACTTTCCCCATACAAATGCTTACTTTCTACCTGATAATCTATAAAACTCCTAGAGCAATGGGTAGTGTTAAAACGCCACTACTGGTTGCTCATTTTTGGTGTACAATGCTGGATTTTGCGTTGGGTGCGCTGGGTACCCCATATGTATTTTTTCCGACCAGTGCGATGTTTGGGGTCGGGATTTTGAATGTGTTTAATGTGCCAATTTGGTTTGTTGTGGCGTTGGGAATTGTTATCATTCATTGCAAGTTTTTATACAAAGTTAAGGGTTCGATAAATCTGAAAAAATTTTCAGCCATGACTTGCTCACTAATCTATCTGTTTGAGAGTCGGAGCAGTTCCATTAAAGATAACAAATTTAGGTTCACCAAGAAGAAATACAGAAGAATTTATTATCTGCTCAACTATTTTATTCAACTCCTCACACTGCTAATACTACTGAAACTTCCTGACAATCAAAAAACAGCAAAACTGCAAATTCTGAAATCCATGCCATGTTTACTACCTATACTTTGCTCCGAGTTTTGCACTTTCTTCGAAAACTCGAAAACTTCAGAAGCAATTTTTCATTGGGATCCTTGTCCAGACTGGTGTCCCACTTTGTATTTTTATTTTCACTTATACTGCATTAATGGTTTCCTATGTTATGGGTGATTTGACACAAGCTCAAATGAACGTTAGTATTGTCATTTTTGGAGTACATGGATTCGCGGAGAGTGTTGTGATTATTTTGGTCCATGAGTGTTATCGAAAGGAAGTTGGGAGATTTTTGATGAGGCAGAATAGAGATGGTAAGTTGTGAGCAGTGTGCCTTATCGTCAAAAATTTTCCGATTTTGTCGACAAATTTACCTGACAAATTATCGATAAATTTTTGTCGATAAAAACGATACAATTTTGTCGATAAATTGTCGACAAATTATCGGTAAATTTGTCGAAAGTAATTTATCGACAAATTTATCGACAAAATTTTTTCGACAAATTGTCAAAAAATTTGTCGTTTTTTTGTCGATAAATTTGTCGAAGGGGGCATTTGTCGACAAATTATCGGCAAAAAATTGCTATTAACCGCCGGAATTACTTGTAAGAAATCGTATCTCATCTGTTTTTCTAGCCCTTCTGACCTGGTGGCCTAATTTTCCCAACATGAATTTTCTAGGCCACCAAACTTTTTGACCTGAAAATGATCTGTTGTGAACATGGTGTGTCTTTAAGTCATTTTAACACGGTGGCCTAACTTTTGCAATATGAGTTTTCTAGGCCACCAACCTTTTTGACCTAGAAATGGTCAGAAATTCACCTGGTACGTATTCTGAGCCATTTTGGGGTGGTTGCCTAACTCTTGCAAATTGAGTTTTCTAGGCCACCAACTTTTTGGCTTAAAAATGATCAGATATTCATCTGGTATGTTTTCTAGGCCATTTTTACATGGTGGCCTAGAAAACTCAACGCGCGAAAGTTAGGCTACCATGTTAAAATGACCTAAAAAGCAGACCAGGTGAACATCAGATCATTTCTAGGCTAAAAAGATTCGTCGCCTAGAAAATGCATGTTGGGAAAATTAGGCCACCAAGCCAGATGGCCTATAAAGTTTACCTGGGTAAATCCGGCCATCATTCTAGACGTCCTAGGTAAAAATGGTAACGATACGATTTTTTTCAAGTAATTCCGGCGGTTAATAGCAATTTTTGTCGACAATTTGTCGATAAATTTGTCGATAAATTGTCGACAAAGAGTATTTTTATCGACAAATTTATCGATAAATTGTCGATAAATTTTGTTTTTATCTACAATTTGTCGGTAATTTTCCGATAAATTTACCGGTAAATTTGTCGATAAATTTGTCGAAAAGGGCGCTTGTCGACAAACCATTTGTTGATAAGGCACACTGGTTGTGAGTAGCAGATTCCATTAACTTCAAAGTTCCAGACAGCCACGTGGATTCAGGTAACAAAAATCGAATATCAATAGTTCCGACTCAAGCCTGGCAATCCAGTTTTCAATAATTATTAGGAAGAAAGGCAAATTTTCGAAATCTGAAGTCTGAAGTCTAAGGACTAAACTCATTTCAGTACAAATGTCCCGACATATCCTATGAACCAAACCTAACCTTCATAACTGTTTTTTAACCTTTTTCCATGCTCGATAAATTTATTCAGTTAAAAAAAATTCAAATCTTCTGTGCACGCTTTTTGGGTCCACGACGAATCACCTGGATGTCCTCCTCGTTGCCAGTCTCACGGAACTTTCCAAGCTTGATATGGATGTGAATATCATCGTCATCATCCACGACGCAGTTCACTTTAGGATCGTTGGTGGTATCTCTGGGGTCGTTGGTAGCATTTGGTCCTGGAACAGATGTGCCGGTGTATGGAATCCCGTCTCCTTCAGCGTGATCTCCTCCGATGTCTCCGGGGGAGTGTGGTACCTCAGTGGGTGCTCCGGTGATGGATCCCGCAAGAGTGAATGGTGGCAAAGTGGTAGTAGTGACTACCGCAGTTGGGTGTGTAGTTCTTGTCGTTGTGATCTTCTCCGAAAGGTATTTTGGACAGACACCAGTTCGATCGCAAATCTGTCCGGCAATGCTTGTCAAGTTGGCAAAAGTGTAGACTGTATTCTTGTCAGCCTTGGCACACTCATACGGTCCATCAATATATATTCCAATTGCTTTCATCTTGTCACCCATTTTCTTCACAGCGGCTCCTCCAAAGTCTCCGTTGCACAGAGGTTCTTTTGATTTGACACAGAAGGTTTCATGGGATGGATTTGGACAAGGGACCCCGTGGAGTTCAGTGTAGCGAAGACGAGCATCCAAGACTTCTCCACGATTGTCACCGAAGCCGTAGAACCCGAATTCGTTCTTAGTGACCTCATCGGCTGAAAACAATGGGTTTGTTACCTAGTTGTTCTAACGGAATAGCTCAATTATCTCGGTTCCTATGAGAGCTATCTGAAATCTGTCAACTGATAAAATGATGGGGATATTATGATAAATAATTTATCAGTTGACCACTTTTCGATATTTTTTGAAGGAACCGAGATAATTGAGCTCTTCTCTGAACCTACATCCAACACAAACTGGCCTGGCCTTCTCCTGCGCAGTAATTGGATGCTTCAAGGTTATGATTGCAACTCGATTCATCGTATGCGGCTTCACACATCCATTGATAATCTTCACTTTTCCCACTTCCAACTGCTTCCTCCCAGAAAGCCGATCAGCGTGCAAAATGTCCGCAAACACCGCGACCTGTCTTTTCTGATTTATGGGGAGCACCATGTGTGGATCGTTCCTACTGCAAGTCCACTCATCAGGAGCTGAAAGATCCGAACGATATCTGATTTCATTGGACACGTTGGTCAAGAAGATCCAGTCGTAGGTGAGAATGTGGCGATCCGAAATGAGCGTTGCTGTACTGTAGACGGTTTTGTTTTCGTGGTCCGGGATGTAGACACCGACGGACCATGGGGATTCGTTGTAGTGAGCGGGCGTTCCGTCGAGCACTTTTCGAGCGTAGTGGCTGTGGGCTGGAAGGTCAAGGAATAGAGTGGTCTTATTTTGTTAAAATATTTTTCTAGGCCACCGTAGTTGGCCTAACTTTCGCCACTTAAGTTTTCTGGGCCACCAAGTTAAAATGGCTTAGAAACCCAGCAATTAAGTATCAGTCCACTCATAGGTCATTAGTGGCCTAGAAAACTCAAAATGCTAAAGTTAGGCCACTATGGCAAATCGCGAGAAGACACACCAGTTGAATTCTAGACCATTTCTAGGTCATTTGTCATGCTGGTTTAGAAAAACTCAACTGGCAAAAGTTAGGCCACCACGAAAAATTGCGAGAAAACACACTAGTGGAATTCTAGACAATTGTCATTTGTCATGCTGGCCTAGAAAAACTCAACTTGCAAAAGCTGGTTCACCATGCTAAATGGCTTTCGAAACACACCAAATGTATATTAGACCATTTCTAGGCCATTTTCTATGTTGGCCTTGCAAACGCAAATCGCAAAAGCTAGTCCACTATGATGATTGCCCTAGAAAACACAGCAGGTGAATGTTAGGTCACTTTTAGGTCATTCACCATAGTAGCATAGAAAACTCAGTATGCGAAAGTTAGGCCACCTCCGAACTAACGCAATGCTATATTTTGTTTATTCGAACGAATTTTCGAAATTTTTTTTTCAAGAGAACCAGTGGTTTTTGGGTCGCTGAGCTTTAGAGCAGATTGATGAGTCAAGGGGAACCTACTCCCAGCCATAAGGTTCACCTACCAGGCATATTCGTTCCGCACGTCTTCTGAAGATCCTGGTTCCAAGCATCATTGTTAGCTTGAATACTGGAAATTGAGAGAATCGCCACAAGAGCTGTAGAATACAGAAAAGAGACCATATTTGTCTCGAATGGTGGCGAGAGAAGGGGGTATAGCGTTTTTATAGGGAACGATAATTCGATTAAACGGAAACGAAATGGGAACCAAAGCCTCTCAGAGTTTTATGATTTTTGATTCTCTAGATTTTTATCTGATTGCGAGAAATAGAGGAAGGAAATAAAATGCAAATTTGTTAATTAACCCAAAAATTTGAAAATGATTTAATCAAAATGAATAGTCGCATCCTTGTCCAGATGGATATGAATATGGATCTCCTTTGGTTGCTCTTGCGCCTCAGCCGAACAATTGAGAAGCATCTTTTCGAATGTCTCGGCGACAATAGTCTCGACGGTGTTTGCGGATTCTGGAGTCTCCGTGTACACTTCCTCGGGGTACGGTTGCTCAGTGAAAGCAAATTCCGTAGCGTCATCGGTATATTCAAAGTACTCCGTGGTGGTGGTTGGGTCCTCGGTAGTCACTTCAGTCTCTATTGCAGGCACATAGACTCCCGGAGTCACTGAATCTTCTTCAAAATCAACACAGACTCCAGTGTGACGGCAAATCGATTTGGTGTACTTGGCAAGATCGATGAATTCGGGTTCTGGATGATGTGCTGGATCCCTACCACACTCGACGTTCCCCTCAGCGTAGACTCCAAAGATGGTGTTTCGACCGTCCACGTTGGCGATGGCACCGCCACCGAAGTCTCCCTGAAAACTTAACTTTATTTAAAGGTTTAATTACCGTTTAAGCCTGCTTTTTTGAGCTCGATTAACTCGGTTGCCATAAAAGATATAAAAAACTGTCAACTGATGAAATGTTGGTGATATATTGATAAGCATTTTATTAGTTGACCACTTTTTGATATCTTTTGAAAGGACCGAGATAAGTAAGCTCAAAGTGCATGTAAGGTGTTTATTAGAGAATTTACGGTATTTTGAGTTAAAATGAACAATTTTAAGACTCTGAAAATGTAATTTGAAATGGTTTGATAAAATTCGAAATGCTTGAAAATGTTTTTAAAAAAATGGAGGTCTCTTTTAGTAGTTAGAAGTTTCCTGTACCGTTTGTTTGAAGATTCCATAACTGAAAGAAGCCCTTCCTATATGTGTACTTTGAGCTTAATTATCTCGGTTTCTATAAGAGATGTCAAACATCTGTAAACTGATAAAATGTTGGTGATAATTTGATAAGCATTTTGTTAGTTGACCACATTTTGATATATTTTGAAAGAATCGAGATAAGGGAGCTCAAAGTTAAAAATATATTGGTTCAAAATCATTTAACCGTAAATGCTCTGATAGAAGGCCACCGTCTATGGGAACTTTGAGCTCGATTATCTCGGTTCCCATGAAAAATATCAAAAATTAGTCAACTGATAAAATGTTAATGATATTCTTATAAAAATTTTATCAGTTGACCCCTTTTCGATATCTTCTGAAAGAACCAAGATACGGGAGCTGGACCTACCGCACACAATCCTCTGCTCTCGTTGACTGGCTTTCCACAGAACACATACTGATGCCACGATGCGTGTTCCTTCTCGCATTCTTCCTTTCTGAGGTACTCAGCCGATGTCAGCTTGTCTCCTTTTGGACCTAATCCGTAGACAGTGTAGAACACATCTTCTCTGGTGTAGGCGTCGATTATATCTTCCTGTTTCTGAGGAAGGCATATTGATCCACGGCTATGGTAGGTGAAGTCACGGGAGAGCTCGATGATCATTGGCTTGTAGGTGTCGATTTCTACGCATCCTCCGAGAACAAAAACACGGGACACGATATTTATTCCACCTTGTACCCCCACTAAGTTCACAGTGATCATGTTGTTGACTTCTTCTGGAAGGATCCAATCCTCTCCAATGCAATACCCCGTTCCTTTAATCTCGGTGTCGTTGAACAGATAACGGCGTACTGTTTTCTTATCAAATTCAAAGATGTTGAACAAAATGACGTGGCGTGGCGAGATTACTGTAGAAGTGAGGATTCCTGATTTGACATGGACCGACGCTGCGAATGGGTAGTCCAATGGGCCATCTCCGTTGATCACTTTGTGACGGTAGCGATAGTTTTGGCCGCAGTTTCTTTGGAGAGCCTCGTTCTCCAGCTCGGTGAGCTTCTCGGCGACGGATACGGTAGACGCGAGGAGTAGAAGAATCACAAGACGAGTCATCGTGTTGGTGATGTGAAGAATCGTTGGGCCGGAGGGGGTTTATATACAGAAGTTGGGAGGTAATGTATTCAGGAGGAAGGGGAAAATTGTGGGAGTCTTGAGAAATATCGGGGTGGTTGGAGATGGGTTTGCAGAAGAACTGTGTGGGAAAATGCTTCCGGATGGTTTTTGAAATTTTAAATGTACAAAAAGTTTGAACTACAAAAACTACCGTAACCTGAAATTATTTTCTTTTTTTAGATTCTTAGATTCTTAGATTCTTTTGAGTTCCCGAATTTCCGAATTTTTCCATCTTTGAATTATAGATTTTCTTGTTTTATTGAAAGATTCCGGAAAAAAATTTCAGACGAAATCTGACAAACATACGGTGTTGCAAGAAAGGAGCCAGAGCGCCACTGACACGCCATGCGTGCTTGGCGCTCACCGATCTTTTCGTGTTATACTGGGGAAAAGGAGTTTTAGATAAGAAACGATGGTAACCGAAGGTACCATAACGAAAACTACCGTAACCTAAAAAATTGTCTATTTTCCGAATTTTTTTTTGCGATTTCTGTCGATTTTTCAGTATTTTTTTCTTTATAAAACTGTTTCATATTCCGATTTTTCGTCGAACAAATTGAGAGAGTCGTAGAAGAACCTGGAAAAAAATCTGGGAAATTCGAATATTTCTAGGTTACGGTAGGTTTCGTTTTCGTTAAGAAAAAAGTGAAATCTAAAAAAAGAACACCTGCAGAATTTGATATCTTCAGGTGTGTATGTGTGTTTTCTGGGTCATTTGAGTCGTTCTAAGCAAAATGTGTCCCCATTTTTTGCAGGTGTCATATTGTGGAAAATTAGCCGAAACTTTTGAAATTATTTGGAAAAGTAACCCATTTTGTGTACTTTTTCCGCTATTTTTCCAATTCAAGCACCTCTGAATAGCCGTTTAATTTGAAGCCTTCGCGTCGTAGCTCAACGCTAATTTACCGTAGTATTACAGTACGTTCGCTGTCGAGCGCATTTATGACCATAAATTCTGAAAAATATACACTTTTAGTGTTCATGAAAAAGTCCTGCTTTCCTTTTTTTTTGCCATCGAAACCAATTCCGAGTTAATCTCGCACGAATAACGACTTTTTATGGGACGCAGAGCTATTAAATACTTCTTTTTTATATGCTCTTTTCTGCCAAGCGTTTTTTCTCGATTTGCGCTCTTTTTCACCGCCCAGAAAATATTTTGAGAACACTTTCGGGCTCTATTCAAAACAAACTATTCTCATGCAAATTTTACCATTTTTCTACAGAAAAAAAATACAAAAGCGGGGGTGTACAAAAGCAAAAATTGTCATAAAAGAAGCAAAGGAATCTATGAAATCTTGTCGATTTTTTAAATTTCATTCTCTTTTCTTTTTTTTCATATTTTTCGATTCCTTCAATATTGACGCTGCCCCGCTTCTCAACACATCTGTTGTTAGTCGTCTTCTTCTCTGTCTTTCTGCACATGTTTCAATCGGAAGAGCTCCCCCGGTCCGTAACACGGGAGAAGGGAAGAACTCGGAGTCGGCGCCGACGAGCATCTGTCAAAACGAGTTTTTGATGATTTGATGATGATTCGGGGCCTCTTATTTTATCGCCGGTTTTCATTTTATGTCCCTCAATTTATAAAGGTTTCATTTTTATGGCGGTCTCTTAGGCAAACTTTTGACATTTTTTCGTTAGATTTTTCGCTTTTTTTTTCGAAAACTCTTGTGAAAAATTACAAAAATTTAGATTCGCTGCGAAACCGAATCAAGTTTTTTGTTGTGAACCTTTAAAGATTACGGTGCAATTTTTGAAAATTATATTTCGCTCCAAGCCCATTTTCGACAGTTTTCCTTGATTTTTCTGAGTCATTGTTAGAGAAAATTACTTAAATACCTGTAAAAATTTTTATTTACCCTAAAAACTGATCAATTGTAATCAAAAACTATAAAATTCGTAAAAAAAACTGTAAAATAAGATTTTCGTGGTGAAACCCGTTAGACAATATTGTTGGATGCGCCTTTAAGGAGTACGGTAGTTTTTGAAATGTTGCTGTTTTATTTGAAATTTCTCTGTTTTCGCCAGTTTTCATTGTATTTTCTAGGTTATTTATGGAGAAAATTGCTTAAATATATGTGAAAATGTCTTTTTTTTTCTACAAAAATTAGTTTATAGCAGTCGAGAGCAAAAAAATTCTTTTGAAAATGTATAAAATAGTATTTTCGTGGTGAGAACCACTATAAAATTCAGGGATGCGCCCTTTAAGGTGTACGGTGGTTTCTAAATTTTGCTTTTTTCGCAACTTCGGCCATCTTTCCAAGAAAACCATAAATATTTTTGCCCTTTTTTTCCGAAATTTTGCGCATCTCGGTACTCAAATTTCCGTTTTTCCTTCTGCAACGCGGCGCTCTCTCCCTCGCTACCTCGCTCACTTATCACCCCTTTCCATCGGCATCTGTTACCAGTTGACTCCTCTAATTATGTAGGTCGCGCTAATTATGTACTCATAATTCCGATAAGTTGCAAGATCGAAGGCACTTCGCACCTCTCTTGTTTCGGTGGTAAAACATGCGAATTCGTGCCAACAGATGTTCAATTTCTGTGCGTCGCCACGTGGTTTTCTGGGTCTCGCTAGGAAAACAACTCGCTTAGATTTGGCATATATTCGGGTTTCTATTTCTGGGGGTACCGGCGGTACCGTGCCGTTCATGGTGACTGGCAGTGATGGGATCCGTGGTAATTTCTACTCTCTATTCAAGAGAAAAAAATCTGCATTATACAGTTTTGCATGATTTTTTTGGCGGGTTTTGGTACAACGACCACTGCAGTAACAAAAATCGAGATAAAATATCCGGAAAAATATTTCTAGGTTACTGTAGCTGGGACCTTCGGCCACGGTCACCGCCTAGATCAGCTTCCCTGACTCGTTTCCCCGTCCTTCCTAACAACCATAACACACACATCACACTATCTTCATATCCGCCTCCTTAGAAGACTCCCTCCTATCAGAATTTCAAGTTCTTCTTCTTCTTCTCCATCGCCAACGGCGCGCAGGTGGCAACCGTCCAGATGTCCATCCGGCCTGACACGTGTCATTTATAATTGTCAATTATTTGGGTGGATAGATAAATTTCGAATCTTCGAAATTTTGCATCTGTCCTTCCTGCCTATACAAAAAGAAGGAAAAAGTTTGTCCACCTGGGGGCCACCTGGTACCCAAAAAAAAAGCCCAAATGGAAAGTTTTCCGGATTACTCATTCCGGAAAAAGCGCCCATATATTTTGGGCGTTCCAACTCTCTCCATTCAGCAGTGGAACCAATTTGTCTCATTCACCCTAAATACTTCCGACGAGTCGTCTCCTTTGAACTTGCGCCGCGCGCGCTAAGTTAGGCCGACTGACAAATAAGGAGGGGATTTGAATATTTATTAGTTTGGGGGGAGGAAAGAATGCAGGTGTTTTCGTTGGGGGTGGCTGGGGTTCCGGTACGCTTTGAATTTTTGAAAAAATTCAATTTTTGAAAAAAGCGACCGGAAATTGCCGGAATTTTAGCTCTATACGTAAGATGATTTTTCCACGTGGCAATATCAAGATTGCTGAGTCCGTTCATGAACTCCAATTCCTACTGTAAACGCTCCAATAAAAGCCCACCCTATAAGTGCAATTCGAGCTCAATTATCTAGGTTCTTCTGAAACATATCACAAATTGGTCAACCGATAAAATATTGGTCATAATATAAGCTATGTTTTATCAGTTGACATATTCTTGATATTATCAGTTGACATATTCTTGATATCATAGGAACCGAAATAAATGAAATCAAAATTCACTTGTACGTTAGGCTTCGATTTGAGCATTTACAGTAGGAATTGGAGGTAATGAACAACCTTAGCAATCTTGTTTTTACCACGTGGAATCCTAGATCTACAGTAGCCAGATCCACCAGAAGCCTGTCGGTTCTATCGGAATATTTAATAACCCCATCTTAGATGAGCTCCTACAGACTGTAGGATCTACAGTAACTTGAGCCATCAGAATCCGGCCGCTCGCTTCCCTCGGAATGTTTAATAACCCCCTGTTGCAAGTGACAATGGGTGTCATAGTCACCACCGCATAATGAGGTTACGTAAGCCTCGGCTAGCCGGTGGTCACATCCGATTCATGTTGCAATGTGTGGCAGGTGGCGGCGTTCTTTAGAAGAACTTCTCCTCTTCTGAAAGACGAATACCAAACAACAGGCACCTAATTATACGGGCCGGGTTAATCAGGCTGTAAACTTCTTGGATGCCCACCTGAAGAGCCGACATCATCACGTCATCGAGCTAGTTAGCATATTTCGTCTAATAAAAACCGTGAACTTTAAGCTCAGGCGGTTTCTATGAGATACATAAAATTCTGTAAACTGATAAATGATTTATCAGTTGCAAGTTTTTCGATATCTTGCATATGAGCCGAGATATATGGGCAGAAAGTTAGGGGCCCTTCTATTTGAGTTTTCACGGTAATTCCTCCTAACTAAGGGGAAAGGTGTGATAAGAAGAAGAAGGTGATTGTTTACCGTCGATTAGTAACTCATCGAGACGATGAGAAGACCTAAAATTGTCGATTACACTGTGTCCTGTCCTCCGAGAAGGCGCACAATCGGCGCGGCTCTTTGTTAGTCAGAGCACGTCACACTTTGATGCTGCTCATCTCGGCGTACGGAGAGATGCTCAGGTTAATATACTACTATTTTTATATAGGGATAGGTTGATTAGGTTAACCTGTATTAGAAGGGCTCTCCGAGAGTTTCAACCATATTTCCTCTAATAGAAGCCCATCCAAACCGCCAACTTTAAGCTCAATTATCTCGGTTACTGTAAGAGATATGGAAAAATTTTCTGCTGATAAAATATAGCTCATATTATGACGAAGATGGTATCAGTGGACATATTTTTTATATCTTCTAAAGGAACTGAGATAATTGAGCTCAAAGTAGACAGGTTGGGTGGGCTTCTTTTAAAGGAGATACGGTAGTTGGAATTTTTAAATTTTCGAATTTGGCGCCAATTTTTTGATTATCCAAGTGAGAGGGAACAAAGCAGTTTAGGCTAACTAATGTCTATAATTTTGAATGAAGTAACAATGTAGTCAAAATTATAGGCTTATGCTAAAACTCCTTGTTTGTCTGAAATACAACAAATAACGCGAAATTTGAAAATTAAAGTCTCGCATTTGCTCTAGTAGAGACCCACTCAAACCACCAACTTTAGGCTCAATTATCTCGGTTACTGTAAGAGATATCAAAAATTTGTCAACTGATAAAACAAAGCTTATCTTATGACGCAGATTTTATCAGTTGACAAAATTTGGATATCTCACAAAGGAACCGAGATAATTGAGCTCAAATATGACAGCTTGGATGGGGCTATTATTGGAGCAAATACTTCGAAGTTCTAGCTGCATGGGTTACTGTAGAAATAGCTCATCTAATTGAGAATGATCTTCTACAGTAACCCGAACTATGCAATTCTAGTCTTAGGGACTTTCACTATTGCGTGACCTAGACACCAACTTTCACTGATATGCGAGATCTTGTAAGAATTTTCAAAAAAAATGTGCAACACAATTTTTTTCCCGTCTAGACAATTGACCCAAATACTTGCTCACAAAAAGTTGCTCCCAGAACTGTGTCCCAGCTGTTTCCTCTTGTTCTCTTGGTTCCTTTTCTCTGCGCGTCTCTTCACGGGTCCCTCTCTATCCGCAGAGAGTAGGGGGCGGAGCCTAATTTCTCTTGCAATGCACTCTCTCCATTTCGAGTGGATGGAGACAGTGCCGCAAGACATGGAATTAGAATGTGGTCGTGTGTTTCTTCGTTTTGATTGGAATACATCTAATTAGATATATTCCCACTTTTTAGTTTTGATATAGTCCCCCGTGTTTCGTTTCGTTTCTTGATTAGAGATTCGTTTTAGTGGGGATTCTGAGATTTCTACCGTAGTTAGATACGCATTTCCGTGGTTTTTTTTTTGCTTCTAAGGGCTTCCGTTTTTTGCCCTTTTTCGGTTTTTCCTAAACCTTAAAAATTCAGCAAAAGTTTTTTTTCTAGAATTTCCGGATTTTTTTCTTCAAAATGTTGTCCTCTTCCGATCATTTTCGAGCAATTTTGTCGTGTTTTTAGCCAATTTTTAACCCCATTTTGAAGGTTAAAAACCATAGTTGCAAACGGGCCGGCCCGGACAGATAGCGGGCCGGCAGATAACTCGGCTTCAGAACCAGATATTTTGACGGATTTGATATCAAATGATAGATCTCGACGAGGTCCATCTTAACTTTACCTTACGGAAGCTCCCAAGCTCCCAAGCTCATAATCTCCATACTTGTGAAATTTCGGCCCGGCCCGGGTTCGGCCCGGCCCGCCCGGCCCGGGCCGGGCCGGGTTGAGAGAAAATTTTCAGGGCCCGGCAGAAAAAAAAAAACAAAATTTTTGAATAATGAATTTTTGTTTTTGAATTTTGTTTTTGTTTTTGAAAATGAATTTATTGATTTTTAGAATGTATTGAAAAATAACTCGAAGAAAAAAACACTGAATACCTTTTTTCGAAACAATGATTCAACTTTTCGCTCAAGATTTTGAGGTTCGCGGTAAACTTCCGGGCCGACCGGGCCTCCGGGCCTGGTTCTCTTGGTTCCTTTTCTCTGCGCGTCTCTTCACGGGTCCCTCTCTATCCGCAGAGAGTAGGGGGCGGAGCCTAATTTCTCTTGCAATGCACTCTCTCCATTTCGAGTGGATGGAGACAGTGCCGCAAGACATGGAATTAGAATGTGGTCGTGTGTTTCTTCGTTTTGATTGGAATACATCTAATTAGATATATTCCCACTTTTTAGTTTTGATATAGTCCCCCGTGTTTCGTTTCGTTTCTTGATTAGAGATTCGTTTTAGTGGGGATTCTGAGATTTCTACCGTAGTTAGATACGCATTTCCGTGGTTTTTTTTTTGCTTCTAAGGGCTTCCGTTTTTTGCCCTTTTTCGGTTTTTCCTAAACCTTAAAAATTCAGCAAAAGTTTTTTTTCTAGAATTTCCGGATTTTTTTCTTC